CAGCTTTATTTCTATTATGTGTTATTTTAATGTGTAGACAAGAACAAATAGCTGTTCACTTCAGAAAGAACATCAATAATAGACAAAGAAACAATTACACCCAAGTCTAGCTTAACAAACCAGTGAGTTTATTAGGATTGCTTAGAGAGTAGTGATGAGGGCTTCTTACTGGAGAATGGGAGCCTCAAAGCCAGCCATGTCACTGGATGATATCTCATTAAAACCACATCCCTACTGCTCTCTGTCTGTTTCTGCCAGCAAACAGTATTTGTTTATACCAGCTTGCTTATCCTGTAACTTTCCAAGTTACCTGAGCCTACTAAGTTCATGAGCTTCCTTGGCCTTCAATCAAAAGACTCCTTAGCTTCCTAAGCGTGATGAGCCCTTGACCCCTGCCAGGAAGGAATGTTTCAGTTGATAGGAAATGACCTACACAATGGTTTATTTAAGTGATGAGATTCCTAATTGGTATTATCAGATAATTCATTTGATTAAGATACCATCTTTCACATTGGAAACGAACATAACACAAGATGTGGCCTTTGTGTTTCGGCAGTTCCTGTGCTGCCTTTCCCCTTGCCACGACGCGCGCCTCTGAGAAGGATGCTGAGACAGAACCACTAGGAATGATCTTTTCGTCGCTTGAAGAAAATTGCTTAGAGATTAAATCTCTCAACATGAGAGACTAGAGACAATTTAAGCTCGCATTCATGACATGTCTCTAGCTGATGTACAACCTATAAGACTGAAGTTATTTTCACTCTCTGAGACTTAGGGGCTGATGAGGGACACAGGACCCTGGAGAGAATGTGAGCTCTTAGTCACTGTGTTCAATACAACTTTTCTAAAGCATGGGAAGCATCCTCTGGGTGCTGGGCATGCGCTCAGCTTACAATCAGGGCCCTCACTGGCCACAGTCTGACGGCGATTTCCTTTCCCATTAGGACAAGAGAAGCCATAGCCCTTAAGCCACGAAGAGTCCACAGCTCCGGTCACAGTGGCAGCCACATAAGCACAGGACTCTCAACGGTGGTAGAGAACGTAGCACTGCAGTGGTTCTTCGCCTTCTCTTTAACTGCTGCCTCTACTTGGACTCGGTCTGCTTTGCTGCCAGTACCTCCTGTCGTGTACACTGTGTTGTGGTCAGCTGGGTCCATAGTTCTTCCAACAGCACAGTTAAGCCCAATCATTGATGTGTGACAAGGGGTTAACAAAGATTTGGAACTAATAGACAGGAATTGTAACCCTGATGGTTAAAACCGGCTCTGGAAATGAGGAATTGTGAAGTTCACAAGCCAAAACGCTCTATATGTAACCACCCCTGGGCCCCACCCAAATTCAGCTCACAGTCCACCTTACCAGTTTCAGGGCCTGCATTCTTTCCACCAGAAAGGGGAAGAAAAGGGTCCGTAGTCACTCCTTCTTTCATCCTTGCCTGCAAGTCCTGTCCCTGTACCCCCCAAATTCCCGTTACTTTCTCTTTTTGTGGGGCATGTCCCAGCACAGCTAATAGCTGGATGTCTTCCCCACTTGTGGGCTAGTCTCATCTTAGACAATAATGCAATAAACATTACACGAGTCCATTTCCAAAGTGTGGGTTCGCAAATCTAGAATATTACAGGATCAAGCTCCAAAAACCCCATCCAGATGGCCTTGATCTGTCCTGCCCAGCACTCTATTCACAGGCTTCTCCAATGCCCCACCCCCACAAACATCCAGTTTCCTCCCCCATAGAAACAATCACAGTCCTATACTTTGCAGACTAAACCTTTCTTAAAGATGAAACACTTTCCTATTGAAAACATTTGCAATGCCGTCATGAGGAAAACAGCTGTTTTGTGATCATACATGACACCAGAACCCCCTGGGAAGGCAGGGTTTGAATTTCTGCCTTTGAGGATGTTTGTTTTTTCCTTTAAGAACCAAATATCGATTGTGGTATCTTCACAGAACAAAAAATTTACCCCAGGGGATAATATCTGTCCTGTTGTGGATAATAACATCAAACAACACACATTTCAAAAGTTCACATCTCCCTTTTTGATTCTTTCAAGATTTCAAAGGTATTAAGACAAATTCTTTGTTGCCGATTAAGATCAAAGAGTAACAGATTTTTTTTTTCCCACAAAGGTCCCACAAGAAGAATGTTTCCTGAGTGAACGGTGTGAAGGGGGCCTTCTGTGTTGTGTTTTATTAGGAGGATTACCTAGATTAATTCAGGGAGAGGCCTAAGGAGCCCTTGGGGTCCCTCAGTTGGCATCCTAGTAGTATCAGGGTCTTGGTACAGAAACAAGTGCTGTGGTTTAAGATAGGGACGTCAATCCCAGCCCCACCTCCCCAGAGGCTCTAGAAAGCTGCCGTTCTTCTGCAAACCCCTGCTTCCAGAGAAACCCAGTCAGTGTGATTATCCTTGTCATCAATGTTAGCATTATAATCCAGGTGAGACATACCCTTTAATGTACCCTCTCTACAGAGCAACCTTCTGGGGAATCCCCCCAAAGAAACCACAGAATTTTTCTGATCTAGCCTTGTCTTTCCTTCAGATAAAGAACTGGAGATTTTTGTGTGTGTGTGTGTTGTGCAGGCCAACTTGCTGATTTATTCCAGAGCTAGGACAAACCCACAAGCCTTTTCTGGCCTTATCAGGGATTTGTCCTATGTGACAAAGCAATATGATTAAGCTAACATTAATTAACCTAACCGCTTTCCTGTTGGGAAAACAATTCCTGAAATAATTCCTACATCCCAGGTACTGCACCAGGTACTGAGAACCATAAAACCTGCTTCAGCTCTGAAAGAGCTCACAGGGCAGCCTATGAAAAAGATGACTGCCCAATGCCATGAAAGGACATCTATATACTTTAGGGTACCAAGCCAAAGCAGTTCCCATTGAAAAACACACTCTTGTTCTCTGTTGACTAGCTAGCTAGCTGTCTGGGATAAGTTGCTTGCTCTTGGGACATTTAAATATTGCCTGCAGATTTAGGAGAGACAGAGAAACATGTGCAGGGAGTCAGGGCACGGCGCCTGTAGTCCCAAGTCTCTGGAGCATGGAGTCAGCATATGTCCAGAATCCCCAGAGGGAGGATTAGGTATGCCAGCCTGGTTACCCACATGCAGGCACTGTGCCCAGAGGTTAAGTCTGCTGGTGGCCCTTATGCAAAGAACCAGTTTGTGCAGTATTGTGGGCAGTGTCTCAAACAAACAGCAGCCAGCCAGTGTTTATTGAGGTGACACTGCACTTTCAAGGTTCAGGCTTGGCTCCAGGATCAGGCAGGTAAGGACAGCCTGGGGGTGTGTGAGAAGGGAGGGCCCCTGTACTCACCAGACAGATTCCCAAGGTACTGCCACTTCAGCTGAGGTGAGCAGAAACTTAGGAGAGGCCCAGCATAGGTCAGACCATAAAGGCCAGTGCAACCTGCAGAAGGGACTCCACTGCACTCCCCTCCACACATATCCAGTCAGCCAAGCTCAAAACGACTTGACCTCCACAAAGAGCCCAGAGAACTCCTTTGCCTACATGTCTCCTCTGACATGGGTTCTGAAAATGAAGGCCACCTAGTGGACGCCTGAACATATCATAGTGATGTTAAGAACGTTGCAGTTAAACACTCAGGCTCTGAAGCCAGATTGCCTTGGTTCAAATCCTGGTTCCGCTTTGTGCAAACTGATGAGAATCCAGCCTGCAGGCTTCTGGAAAGTAGAGCTAATAGAAGCAACTGATTCATGGTATTGTTAGATTAAGTGGATAAACAGAGCTCAGGTTCATGGTCTACAATTAGCTACTATTCCAGATAAAACATAGTCCTTAGTTCCCAAATTCCTTACAATTTAATAAAAGGAAACTGCAGGAGACACCGCAGCAAAAACATGAGACAGTGTGTGTAATTCAGTCCCAAAGTATATTGCCCTGACTCTAGGTCAGTGAGACACATACAGAAGCCGTTTTGGCTGAGGCCCATCTGTAAAATGAGAGTTGAGCTGGGAGCATGGTCATGGAGTACTCAAGGGAAGAAGCATGGGTGTCACGTGGTGCAGTGTTTGAATTCTGGCTTTACCAGTCACTAGCTGTGGGATCTTGAGGTAGACACTGCTGTGGTTAATTTTTTGACATACAGCTCACCTGGACTATGGAGGCAAACTTCCCATTTCACGTCACAGCACAGAGACTTGATTGGTCATTATTCTAGCTGAGAGTGGTTTTGGGTAAAGTGAAATTAGTCAAAAGAGGAAAGCCAGTTGTTCCCCTAACCAGGCCTCCTCAAATTATTAAAAACCTGATGGAATTTTTTTAAATGCTTAAGGAAGAATTTTTGCCTCTATTTGACTACGTTCTATTTTCTGGTCTTTGCCTTAAATGGAAACATGAGCTTTCTCCCAGACTCAGATCTTCTGGCCTTCAGATTCAAATGGCATCACCAGTCTCCTCGTTCTTGAGCTTTCAGACCTACACAGGAACTAAAGCCACTGGTGCTCCAGCTTGCCAGCTCAGCCTAAAGATCTCAGGCCTTGCCAAAGTCCATAATAACATGAACCAATTTCCATCTATCTCTCCTCACCCAGACACACACACACACACACACACACACACACACACGAACACACACGTCCAGTGCATACGCACACACATACATGCATGCACACAGTTGGTTCTGTTTTTCTGAGGAACCTTGACTAAAGTAGGCACTAACATTTCTAAGGCCCAGTTTTCTCACCTGTAGACTAGGGGGCAATTGCACTTATAACAGGACTGCTACCAAGGTTCAGTGAATTCTTGTACATGAGCCCTGCCCTGGCACCTAACACATTAGGATGTTCACAAATATGAATTGTGAAGGAATGCCAGTGTCCCCAGCCAAGGACCACAAAGACCACACCCACATCTCCATCATTCAGATGCATTTCTCAGCCCGGGAGTAGAATGTACTTTCTAAAGGACACCTTGGGTATTTCGAAACACATACAGGACTTGAGTTTGTTTTCAGTGTTCTGAAGAGACTTTAATGGTATGTGTTTTTCCAGATTGCATGTTGTCAGAGAGCTGGGATAACTCTGCAGCTAGTTATCTCTAGAGGGTTGGATGGATATGACACTGAGAACCTGTGAGCATGATCTTACAGATAGTATCTCTGTAGAGAGAAGTGAAGGAAGGTTTGGAAGATGAGTTCACCTGAACGTGTTTGGTGGAGTCTAAACCCACTGGCAAGAGTCCTTCTTCGAGAAGACAGGGAACACGGAGAGAAACGGAAGAAGATGGGGGCAAAGACTGGCGGGCGGTTCTACCAACCAAGACGCTGGAAACAGGAAGAGAGATCTAGGGCAGATCTTTCCCGGTCTTCCAGAAAGATCCAGTTCTGCTGACACTTCCATTGGAGGTTTCTGGCTAATAGAACTGTAAGAATACATACCTCGTTTTAATGTCTCTTGAGGTAGTTTCTAAAGGCAATCCTACGGTGCTAACACCAAGTCATTCCAGCCAACTCGCAGACCAGACGGAGGGGAAGACTGACGCTCCAGCTAGTGAAGAAACATAGCGGTTCTGGGTAGCCACAGGAAAGGGTGATCAGTACTGTGCGGCTTAGATAATGTTCAAATTTGTGTTCCAAAGTGGTTATCAGCAGCCTGGCCTCTGTCCTGCTGTGTCACAGTCGTGAACTGACCTTGTCTGAATGGTAACATACAAAACCGCCCACGCTCAACGCCGAAACCAACCGGTGAGGAGTTCCGGGCCAGCTCCAGGGGTGTCGGGAGCTACCCTTGTCTTTCTGAAAGAAATCACCTAAGGGTCTCCAGCACACCCAGTTGCCAGGTGTGGGTGATACGGGGCTGATCTTCCATTTTTGCCTTTTCTGTTTATTAAGAAGTTGTTATACATCAGATTCTAAAACACATGCTTTCTCGTTCCAAGAAGTAAACGACTTGGTTCAGCGCATACCTGTGACACATGTTGTAACGTATCTTGTGACACAGTTCTAGGTGTGGAGTGCTCTTCTGTTGTTTTATTTTGTTTTGTTTTCATTGTCATTCTTGGACAAGGTTGTCAAAGGGTTTGGTGACAGTATGTGCCTGAGACATAAGCCAGGTTGCGGATGTATATCCAAGAAGCCTGTGGCACCGGGCAAGTGTGGAGATGAGTCAGCTGGAGCAGGGCAGCTCTCTGTGCCTTGTAAAGATGTTTTACAAAGATTTCATTTACTCTTTGCTGGATGAGCTGTGGTAAAGATACATTTGTATTGAGCTGGTACATCTAGGTCCTGTAACCCAGGGGACTCACCTTCCTCATCTTATTGCATATTTGCCAAGGCTCTCCTCAGGTGCTGTGGCAACGTTCTGAAGGTTCTCAGGCCTGTCACATGCTCTGCATTTCCTTATAAGTTAATGTGGCCTTGAAGAAATGATACATAATGCTGACTGTTTTGCTGGTGACTCCCTTAATGTGAGATTTTTTTCTTTCAATTGCGATAAACTCAGAGGATCCTGGGGACTTACTTCTGCATCTGTAACTGGTGTGAACCTCCTCAGGGGTAGCTCATGACCTGGCATGTGGTCTTGCAGCTGCACCTTCGTCACAGCACATGCTACCTTCCTCCCCAGTGCCAAACAACGATGGCTTGCTGTCCTCTTGTGTGCGCACAGCCATCTTTAACATGTTATTCTCAATTACTGTATCACGACATTGTGCTGCAGCAGAGAAAACCACAACTAAGAGTGGCACGAACAAGGAGAAAACAACTTACTGTTTTTACACACCAAGAAGCTTTGAGTAGGTCAAGTGTGAGATGAACTAATTCGATAACTTAATGATATAGTTAAAGACTTTTTTTCCCCAAATCTACTCTGTTTTTCATGTTGCCTTTTCCACTCAGGCTCACACTGGCCCTGGTAGCCAGGATGACCGCAGCTCTATAGATTCATGCCTTCACACAGGACCCAAGCCGCAGAAGGCAAGAATGAAGTTACATTTTCTTTGTGCATCTACTTTAAAATGAGAGTGCTTTTCCAACTCTTCCATCTTGTCTCATGGACCAACATTGCATCCTGAACCAAACACGGATAAAAAGATTGGAACTTGGTTCACTGACTTGAGGGTTTTTTGTTTTGGTGTCTTGTCTTTTGGGCTTGTGGGGGAAGGGGTAACGGGGTCAGGTAGGGGCACAAGGTAGGGCACATGGACCAGCAGAACTTACCGTGCCTATTTATTTCCAAACTCAGAGCCAACAACACCTTACACGTGTTCTCAAGGTTAGCCTGCTTTCAGGTTAACTCAAAGACACTCAGACATTTCACCTGGAAATTTCCACTGAAGCCAGCTAAAAGAAGGCTGTGAACAAGAAGAAATAAAACAGCAGTTTCTTCTTGGAAGCGCAGCAAATAGAGATAGAGCCTATAGCCTGTATCTCTATAGGGAACTCGAATAAAGCATTGCCAGCACATGACCACTCAAGCCACACTTCCTGATGACCACGAATTGGATGTGGCAGTACATTCACGTTTGTTTTCCCCGTGCATCCTATCGCTGGACTTTCTTGTCAGTGATGTTTGATTATAGCCTGGTCTTCCCAAGCTTGAGAGAAAATACAATTTCAGATGAGGATGAAAGATACCACCAGGGGAACTTTTCCACAGCCCAGAAATAGAAAGACTGAAAGAATCAATTCCATTAGGGTCAAAGCTGAGGGCTGGTGAACACTGCGGGGCCTCCCAAGGTGGTGAAGGTTCATTTGCTTTGATGGTGAGCTGATTATCTCCCAACATGCTATACCTCCCCTAAGGTCACGAGGGGAGGCTCTTCTCAATTGTAAATGTTTTCCTTTCTTGGAAGACCACTTTTTCCTAAGGGTGCTGGGTACTCACCGAAGGCAGAAGTATCTTCTCCAGGGATGTCCACAGCTCTCTCTGGACTCCTGAAAACAGTCTGAACACCTGCATCCAGGCGCTCAGAGTTCTAGGCACGTATGGGTCTTTGTCCTTCGTTGGCCACCTGCTGTCACATAACAAGCTACCCCATAATGAAGCAGCTGCAAATCCCTTTGACTAGATCACCTACAATACACCTTCCTCACTCACCAGTCTGGCACCACGGTTTCTTTCTCTACACAGTACCTATGATGATTCAGATGTGGCGTGTCTCACAGGTTCATTTATGGGCAGCTTGCTTCTCAGTGTGGTGATGATGGGAGGCAGTGGAACCCTTAAGAGGTGGTTGGCACCACATGACTATGTCATTGTGTCACTGCTCTCAGAGGAAGTGACATTGGCAGGAGGGCAAACTGTTACACAAAGCATTCCTGGGCTCTGGATTTCTCTGGCTCCCTGCTTCCACACACAATCTCTTCTACACACGCTCCCTTCATTGTGATGCACTCTGCCACAACAACCTCATCAGAGCCAAACAGAAGTTAGTAGCATGGTTTAGGACCTCCAAAACTATGAGCTAAAATACCTCTTTTCTTTGTGAAGTACTCAGCCTCAGATACTTTGTTACAGTAGCAGAAAATGAACTCATGGAGTACCTCATCCTCTAAAGCCTTTCTGCATGGGGCTTGAGCTTCTCACAGTAAATATTTTTTTTCATGTTCCACTTATTATGTGGTGACTGGTTCCCAAGCATCCAAAAGCAGATTATGTAAGTTAAGGACTATCCCCAAAGCTGGTAAGTAGTCACAGGACTTTCCAAAACTGAAGTAAGCAGGAAAAGCCCAAACCTTAATATGATTTGGAATTTGGTAAGGTAGCTTTGCCAAAGCACACAGAAGATACTGATGTAGCCATCTTTGGTAGTATAGTGGGGGGTGAGACTATCTCTACTATTTCTCTATTCCTTTACACTGACCTGTGCTAGAAGGTAAATCGCACAGCGATGAGGAGCCCTAACTACACTGTACAGGCTGTCCAGAATATGGGCTCCCTAGAAAGTTCCAAGCAACTCAACTGAACGATGAGCTGAAGACGCACCAGAGTCTGATTCTGACCCACATACTGTTTTTCAATCCTCCCACCCCCTGACTGCCCCGACTCACAGGAGAGAGCAAAGCTACGTGGTAAAGGTCATTACTCTGGCTACCTGCCAAGACTGTGGGAACCACTGAAGAGTATAAAATATAGTGGGAGACGAAGACATGAAGATGACTTTAAGGATGTGAAGTGATGGAGAAGGGAGAGGGAAGGAGAGAGTTTCCACACCAGCAGCTGCACTGGAAGGTCAGGCAGACAGCGCTATCTGTCAGCCCACCGTGTCACTGGGACATGTGATTTGTGGATGCAGAGAGGTGGGTTTAATATAACTATACCTAAGCCAAACCAGCACAGAGTCAGTCCAGGCAGGTCACTCACCTCTTTTCCACAGGTGCCCTGAGTATCACAGCTGCTTCCTACATCAGTGATATAACTACCCTGGAGCTCCAGAGTGCCTGCTTCAGCTTCCACTGTGTGCCACGCCTGCTTCTTAGTTCCACTTCCGAGAGAAGAATATCTGTTGCCTGGGCACACATCCAAGTCTGTGAGGACAGTTGTCCACTTCTTTCTCCAGCATGTATTCATAAATGGGTGTGTTCTAAAAGTCAGGTTATATAATGACAGCTAAGTCATGGGCAAATGTCCACTGTACAGCCAGTCATTCCTTCCATAACTTACCCTGGAGACCTTACACATGGTAGGCGTTGTTCTGGCACTGAATAGACAAAGCTGAGCAGGAAAGGGATGGTGCTTAGTTTTGTGCAATAAAGACAAAAAAAAAAAAAAGAGGCTCATAACTAATTCCAGGTTGTGATGAGAACAATGAAGAAATAGTACTGTGAGGTAAGATATTGGGCCATCAACAATAATGTGGGTATATTTGGCCATGTGGGTATGAGGTCAGGATTAGTTTACAGGAGGTAAAAATATAAGGCCACTGTGAGCAACTGGGCAGAGGGCCAACAACAAGGAGTCAGCCCATGCAGAAACCTGGAAAAAGAACCTTCCTTGTAGAGGAAAGTGCAAGCAAAAGCCTGGGAGGTGGAAACCCATGAGAAGTTGTGAAAGAAGGAACAGAGCCAGGGTGCCTGGAGCCAGATCTCCGCAAGATTATCTGAGGTGGTGTCGGGGAGTGGGCGTCAACATTCGTAGGAAAACAACAGGTAAAAGTAAGGCAAATGCACGCTTGGAGGGAGAGCAACAGGATTAAGAGTAAACTGGTCACTACATAGAAGCATGAAATCTTCCCGGCTGCAATCCATGAAGAGAAATACATTTCATTTCTCTTCCCAATGCACACACAAGCTGCACAGTGCTCTCCCATTGTGTATCGTTAACTTCAGTCCAAAGATATGAGTGGACAAATTCGTGACTAACTGAAAAGTTTTAGGTTGCATGTTGTTCTGAGCCTGGTGATGGAATCTCACCTTGTCCTGGCCCATCCTGCTCAGGTGTGAGTCATTGCTATATAGGTAGCACCCTGTATATGCTAACTACTCTGGAGCAGCTGGAAAAGAAACAAAGCACATTCACATAACACACATAATTCATTATTGTGCTATGTGTGTATGTATAAATGCTCTATGTTAGTATTAAGTTACTGTGTCTATCTCTTACTTATGTGAGATGCACAAGTTATAGCTACCACAGCCGTGTGTTCATATGGGAGAAGGCAGTATGTAGAAGATTTGGTGCTATCCGTAATTTCAGCACCCACTAGGCCTCTTAATATACATCCTCCAAAGATAAGAGGGGACCACTATATGGAAGTGACCAATTGTACACATCAGCTTAGCTAGGCTTTGGTACCCAGATATTTAGTCAAATACTAGCCTGAGTATTTGGGGGAAGGATTTGGGGGTGGGGATAAGACTTATATTTAGTAAACCAGATTACCTTCCATAATGTGGGAGACCCTCATCTAACCAGTTAAAAGCCATAAAGAAAACAGTCTGGGATTCAAGTAAGAGGAGGCTCTTTCTCCACACATCCTGTCAGCATCTCAGGTCACACCGACACATTTAGCTAAGGATAAAATCGCTTCTCACTCTGGCCTCTGCGGCTAATTTTGGTTCTTCTTAATTCTATGCCTGGGACAGAACAGCTCAGCCTTTTGTTTGCTTGTATTGTCAATAGCCAGAAAGCTAGAACAAACTCTGAGATGAGGGCTCTTCAGCCAGGAAAGTTTGTGCCCAAGTTAGGCAAAAGGCCAATGGATGGATGGTGCCACCAGTCTGCCCTCCACTTGTCTGTAAAGTCTTAATTTGGAATGAGTCTATGCTACTCCTTCTTCTCCATCTGCAGAGGCTGCCCTCGGGGGCTCCTGGAACCACAGTGAGTTGATGTCCCAATAGGCTCAGATCAAAGAAAGAGATGGCAGGTCATATAGGCAGTGCTGTTCTGCCCAGAAACCTGATCCTGAAAAGGCTTTTTTTTTTTAATTATTATTTCAGTTGCAGCTCTTGAGATCTAATTTGAATCTTCCTTTTGTAGACAGCAGAAATGATGTTTTTACTGTCTATAATGAAGTTACGTCTGTGTGTGTTTCTTACCTTTCCAAACTAGACTCTACATTCTAAAAGGCACCATGTCCCAGATATGCTATAGCATGCTCAGCAGGGATATTACACTGCTCTCTCCCTAGCAGAGATGTAATATCATAGGACAGATGAACACAAAAATGACTGCTGATGTCAACAAAGGCACAAAGATGAGGCAACCGAAGGTGGAGGGAAGGTGATAAAGTAGGATTAAGGCAGTGTATCTAAGGTTCTGATGGCATTGTTTTCCCTAAAATAATTACAGAGTCGAGTCTCCTGAAACAGCAATGCAGTCTGTGTCCCCACAAAGTAGAACCGGATCTTTATCAGTGCCATGGAAATGCTGAGATGACCTGCTGTAAAGAAACCTGGAATTTCCTCAGAGCTGTGTGCATCCTGCACCCTTCTGTTGTTGACTACCATTGGCATCTGCAGAACACCTGATCCATGGAATGCCGATAATGTGCTGTTTTAGAAGTGTATGGCCAAATTCAGCATGCAAGGAGCTTGGGAATCGGCATGGGAGATGTTCGCTCCCTCCCCAAGTTCTCCTGCCCCGTGTGGAAAGTGTGCCTGGGCTGCTCTGTAGTTGAGCTGCCTCTTTCTGGAGAAAAAAAAAAAAGAAGAAGAAGAAGAAGAAGAAGAAGAAGAAGAAGAAGAAGAAGAAGAAGAAGAAGAAGAAGAAGAAGAAGAAGAAGGAAAATGCAAACTGTTTCACTGCTGGAACTCCCCCTGAAGAAGAACAGATATTCTACCAAATCTCCCTCTACTCAACCCTCTTGGCAAGGTCTGAGTGAACTAGGTTCTGCTCTCAACCACATTTTTAAAAATAATGTGCTCACAAATGGCAAGAGAATCCATACCTGACAGGTTCCTGTTGGTTGTACCAAAGCAAGAGGGGAGTGGGAGATGAGAGGTTTCTTTGTTTGCTTTGTTTTTAATGTTGGTGTGCATGGAGCCAGGCAACATTTGGATATTAGCTTTCTCCTTTCCTGAGTGTCTAGAATTAGACTCAGGTTATCAGGTTTGTGCAATACGTACCTTTACCCGCTGAACACTCTTGCCAGGCCCAAACCATGAGACTTTGATCCTTACACAAAAGTGTAATTTAACTTCAGAATCACTTGCTATTTGGCAAAAGGTTGAGTGACATTTCTAGTGAAGGTTTGGGTCTTAAATCAATTACCTAAACCTAAAGAAACCCCCAGGACATGGCAATCATTTTTGTGTAGGGAAAGACAGCATGGTACCAGCGAGAGGTAGAGAGTTGGTGTTTTGAT